GATAAGATATGCTAATATTCTTACCTCCGTTTACTCATCTATCTCTCTCTCTCTCTCTCTCTCTCTCTCTCTCTCTCTCTCTCTCTCTGGGTATTGGGCTGTGTGTACCAGGGAGAGAGAGAAGGGCATGGAAGAATGATAATCAAGCACTCGATACAAAAAGACTAGAGAGAGACAAATTTTTTTTTTTATCAGTCAAAAAAATCTTTATTGATAAAAGAAGAACTCATTACATTAAGAAGAGAAGATGGGTGTAAAAAATATTATCACGAGACATATCAATTCCAATTAAATTGACACCAATATAATCGCTCAATCCCTTACAAACAGACCATCGGAAGTTGGTGAGATACTTAAAAAAAAACATTGAATTCACTAAAAATAGTCCTTTACAAAGATCTAATCCCATGAGAAAACAAACACGGGATACACATCCAATAGTCCGAGAGATTCACAGCCCCAAGATTCAAGTCCGATGAATTCTAATCCCCTTTATAAAAGGGTAAATTACACTTATACTTTTTGAGATTTGAGTTTAATACATACGTTTAGAAAATTATACTAATTTACCTGTCATTATAATTATTTAGACGGAATAAAAATATTAAACTCATGCATTATCTATTTTCTTGTTTTATTTTACTCCTCTCTCTCTCTCTCTCTGGGTATTGGGCTGTGTGTACCAGGGAGAGAGAGAAGGGCATGGAAGAATGATAATCAAGCACTCGATACAAAAAGACTAGAGAGAGACAAATTTTTTTTTTTATCAGTCAAAAAAATCTTTATTGATAAAAGAAGAACTCATTACATTAAGAAGAGAAGATGGGTGTAAAAAATATTATCACGAGACATATCAATTCCAATTAAATTAGCACCAATATAATCGCTCAATCCCTTACAAACAGACCATCGGAATTTGGTGAGATACTTAAAAAAACAAAAAAAAAACAAAAAAACACACAAACTTATACATCTCTGGATATTGGATTGTGTGTATGTGTGTATTAGGTAGAAAGTTGGAACATATATCATCAGAAAAAAGTGTTTGGATCAACAGTTAAAAGGGTAAATTACACTTATACTTTTTGAGATTTGAGTTTAATATATACGTTTAGAAAATTATACTAATTTACCTGTCATTATAATTATTTAGACGGAATAAAAATATTAAACTCATGCATTATCTATTTTCTTGTTTTATTTTACTCCCTCTGTTTTTTTTTTCCCTTTTCTACGCTTTACTTTTTTTTTAATGTAATTTTTTCTGTTTTTTTATTAAGAATTATTGTCTTATATCTAAGCAAAAAGTTTGTAAAATAAGACTACTAACCACATAGATGGGAATATAATTTTCAAAATATCGAAGGTAAAATGTAATTAGATCAAATCTTAGGAGATGTTAGTGTAAACCCTGGTTAAAATTCAATTTCAAAAAATATTAGTTGATAGTGAAAGTTTAGACACGAAATCTGAGTAGTCTCTATCATTACTCTTCATGTTACAAATGAATTTTATCTTGTATTTAACGCTACACTAATGTGAGATATTTAGGACATTGTTTAGTTTGAATTTTCAAGATTTACCTTTTAGAAAATTTTCATTTTTATTTTTCGTATTTTTTTATTTTCACTGAATATTTTTTATATTCTAAGCAATTTTTTTAATTTTTAGATATACCTAATATACACTTAAAAAATATAACATTTGTCATTTCTTTTTTAGAAAATTCACTAAATATCAAAAAAAAAAAACACACACAACAATTCAATACATTTTTCCTATTCTTGTGTATTTATTAATTTTTTAAAATATTTTTTACAAATATTTTACTTTTTAGATACATCTAAATAAAGTGCATCTAAAAAGGTAAAAAAATTGTTTAAAATTTTAAAAATATTCACTTAAAATAAAATAAAAAAAATGAAAAACAAAATACTCATTTTTTTAAAAATTAAATTTACAAAATTGAAACCAAACACACTAATTTCTAAAAACGAAATTATTATTTAGGCCTGGTTTGGCTTATACTATATAAGTCAAAAAGTCAAAAAATTACTCCAAAATCCAAAAAGATATTACTATTCACCAAAAAAAAAATTTTAAAAATCAATTTTCTTCCCAAAAAGTACAATTTGAATTGATGTAAAGCACCGGCTGTGCAGCAAAAATGAAATGATTCGGTGTGATTTTCACACACACCGTTGTTCGTCCCATGGGGGCCATTACGGGTCCCGTTTTGATAATCTGAACCGTTCAATATGTAGAAATCGTCGAGTACTATATGTCTGCAAAAAATCACATTGATCGAATATCGATAACTATATGATCAAATCAGTTATATACAACAAATCGATGGTGTTATAATTAATGATTGAAAAATAAATAAATTTGATCAGATAGCTATCGATATCCGATTAACGTGATTTTTTATAGGTACATAGTGTTCGACGAGTTACACACATTGAACGGTTCAGATTATTAAAATGGGACCCGTGATGACCCCCACGAGCCAAACAAAACAGTCCAATGCTTTGTACAAAAATTAGCCAATAATTTCCAACTCCCATACACTCCGGCCGGTTGTACGGCTGGGGCCACCCCTCTTTAATCATTTCTTACACACTTTTTTTATACAATTTTTTAATACATATTTTTTCATAAAAGTCAAAAAGTTAACCCAAACCTCCATATTTTTTTTTTTGTCTTTTTTAGTCCAAAAAGACAAAAAGTGTACTTTTTTAGGACACCCCAAACCAACCCTTAGTTCAGATTCATTTTATAAATAAATCTTATAATACATTAATTAAATATCAACCACATAATGACACGTTATTGGATTATTTTTATGGGATAATAGAGTTTTCTAAGAGGTTGTTTGGAATATTCTAAATAAATGTATTTTTTAAATTTTTATAAAAAGATGTGTAAAAAAGTAAAGAGGAGATATTGATTGATATGACTCAAAAAAGATAAAAAAAAAATATATGAACTTATTTAGTCTTTCCAAACAAAACCTTTGAGAAGTCCTAAATAACCAACTCAAGAACGAAACCTAGCTCGGACCATCCAATAATTTCCACAAAGTGACTCACGGCAGCCAAAATCTTTGTATGTATAGATGAGACAAAAGGTCACGGTCGAAGCCAATGAGGATTGAGAAATACTACTGGAATAACTTCTCTCTCACACAGTCACACACACTGGGCATACTCACTCTCACACATTCACACACTGGATACTCACAAATAGAATTGCAAACGAGTCAAGTCGAGCCTAATTTTAGTATATTTGAATTTATTTATTAAGATTTTAATCAGCTCGAGCGAGATCGAGCTTGAGCTCAATAAAAATTTAATGAACCGACTTCGAATAAACATACTTAAAAAAAGTCTATATTTTACTAAAATAATAATATCTACTACCACTATTATATAAATGTACTATCTATAGTTAACTGTTATTTACATTTATATTTTTTTAAATATGTAAATAGCATATTTCTCTTATTTTTTATACATATTTTTATATTATTTAATATATAAATAATAAATATTAAATGAGCCAACTAACGAGCCGAGCTTACGAGCCGAACTTTAGAATGTTTGAATTTTTTTATTAAAAATTTAACGAGCTCGAGCTCAATAGCAAAAAAAAATTAGCGAACCGAGTTCAAACGAGCTCTTACTGAGCCGAGCTCGAGCCTGTTTATAAACGGCTCTGTTCATTTACAGCCCTACTCACAAATCAAATGTTGTGTGTGGAATTGACCCACCTCCATTAAAAAAATAAATAAAAAATAAAAAAACAAGGTTTTAAACAACAAATAGTTTAACATACCACAACTGCATAAAATGATTTGTTCATGATATATATATGTGTATGATAATAGCCCGTGAATGTGAGCCAAAATAAAACTACGTCTCCAATCTCTCTACCCATTACATGACAAAATCACAACTCCCACGTATAGACAATTTGCTGGCCGGCCACACTCACATGCCACCAAAATCCAACACAACCCCTCACCCCTCCTCCTCTTCTTTATATTACACCACTGGTGGCTGCAAATGGGATGTGTTTAAATTTGTAACAATTTGATGAATTATAAAAATGAGTTGATTTTAAATTTTGTTAATAGTTTATTAGAGTAGTTAACAATATAAACAATTTTTTTTTTTTTAAAAGATGTGACAAAACTTTAAAATTGTTATGAATTTTGTGTTTTATATAATAAAATAGATTTAATACATACAAATTATACATAAAATTAATACAAAATGATGTAATGCATTTTATTAAATTTAGCCAAAAGGACAATTCAATTTATTTTACTTCATAAACCCCTTAATGAGGAGGCACATAATTGAGCAAAGATAGAATTAATTTTTTTTCTTAGACAATATTGCCCATGCACACACATATACACGCGCGCGCGCACACACACACACATATATATATATATATATTATAAAACTCTTTTGATAAGGAACACTTTTATTTTATTTTATATAAGTTAAAAAATTGTGTATGTGTATTTTTAGCTGGTTCATTTAGTATGTATTTTATTTTTTATAAAAGTAAAATGTTATTGTAAATCAGAGTAACATGTTACTATTTATATCAATTTCGATGGTATTTTTTTATTATTTTATATTTTTTAAGAATTTTATAATCAACATGGATCTTATTTGATAAATTTTGATAAGAGAATTCTAAAAATACTACTTTTATTAAAAATCAACATGTGGATCAAAAATTATATTATTTTAAAGTTTAAAATAGTAAATTACTCACTAAGTATATTTTGATAATAGTAGTATGTGTTAGAATTTTGAATAAATTTTTTTTACACTTGAAATTATTGCATTAATGTTCTATTATGAGGATATTTTGATCAAATTCTCTAGTTTTTAAATATTTTTTTCCTCTATATATAGTATTACTGTACACCATATCACCATTGAAACACAATTCAAAATTTTCCTTATATTACCCTTTTGTCCTCTAAATCAAACAGAACCCCAGCCTCCCCTCCTTTGTATTACCCTCTCTCCTCTGTCTCTCTCTGTGCAACCTGAGGAGAGAAAAGCAATAAGACCCTTTTGCAGCCACAAAAAGTTTCTTCACAGCATCTGCTGCTTCAGCAGCCTCATTGCATCCCCATATATATCAACTGATCAAAAGCCTGAAACTCCCTGAGAATGAATTTTCTTTCCCCGATTTGACTTCCAACTAAGTTGTTTTTTTCTTTTTGGGGTGAGAGAATTTTTCCCTCATTCCGACTTGTCATCTTTCTTTTCCATGCGAAAAGAACGGTAAATCCTCAGGTAAAAAAAAGCTGACCAGTCTATTTTACCTCTTCGATCCATTTTCAGAACTTTCTTTCAAAACTCTACTGTCACTCAATCAATAATAGATCGTTTCCAAATGCCCCAAAGACACCACATCTAGTCTCGTCCCTTTCTCTCCTCTGCTTTTCTCAGTCTCATTTTTCATTCTCTCTGTCTTCTCAAATTTGATATCCTCTCTCTCTCTCTCTCTCTCTCTCTCTCTCTCTCTCTCTCTCTACCCATGATGCAATTCACTGAAACTCCACCACCAACCTTCCACCAAATCTCTCCGTTCACAAGCCTCCTCTCTATGAACAAAAACCAAATTCATCGAACTCGGCCGTGGCCGGGTTTTCCGACATCGAAGTCGGCTTTGGGCAGCTTGGGCGATGCCAATTGCATGGAACAATTACTCGTTCACTGCGCAAACGCAATTGAAAGCAACGATGCGACTCTGGCTCAGCAAATCTTATGGGTTCTAAACAACATCGCACCTCCCGACGGCGATTCGAATCAGCGACTCACTTGTGGGTTCCTCCGAGCTCTCATCGCTCGAGCGGCCAAGAGCGGGAGTTGTAAAATGCTCACTGCCGTAGCGAACGCGAACGCTAACGCTAATCTAGCGATCGACACCCACAAATTCTCAATCATCGAGCTCGCCAGCTTCGTTGACTTGACTCCGTGGCATCGATTCGGGTTCACTGCGGCCAATGCAGCGATTCTAGAAGCTGTCGAGGGTTGCTCTGTCATTCATATGGTTGATTTAAGCTTGACACATTGCATGCAAATTCCTACTCTGATTGATGCGATAGCGAGTCGGCTAGAGGGACCTCCGCTCATCAAGCTCACCGTGGCCGGAGCCACCGAAGACGTGCCGCCGATGCTCGATCTTTCATACGAGGACTTGGGTACAAAGTTAGTTAACTTCGCTCGGTCGCGTAATGTTTCGATGGAGTTTCGAGTGATTCCTTCGAGTTCTTCAGATGGGTTCTCTTCATTAATCGAACAACTCCGAATTCCACAACATTTAGTGAAATCAAACAATGCTACAGAGGCTTTAGTAATAAACTGTCACATGATGCTTCACTACATACCCGAAGAGACCCTATGTTCTTTCGAAAATCCTCCGACTTCCTCATACCGAACAATGTTTCTCAACTCGCTTCGCGATTTAGACCCTACAATCGTTGTTTTAGTCGATGAAGATGCGGATTTTACATCCAATGATTTGGCGTGTAGATTAAGATCGGCTTTTAATTATCTATGGATACCGTATGATACGGTGGACACGTTTCTACCTCGGGAGAGCAAGCAGAGGCAGTGGTACGAAACGGATATTTGTTGGAAGGTGGAAAATGTGATAGGGCATGAGGGTGTCCAAAGGGTGGAGAGGCTGGAGCCGAAGAGCCGGTGGGTGCAAAGGATGAGGAATGCGTGTTTTCGGGGGGTTTCATATAGCGAAGAAGCAGTTTCAGAGGTGAAGAGTATGCTGGATGAGCATGCAGCTGGGTGGGGGTTGAAGAGGGAAGAAGATGATCTTGTGCTCACATGGAAAGGCCACAATGTGGTGTTTGCTACTGCTTGGGTACCTACTTAATTGATGTTTTTTTATTTTATTTTTACTATTTCAACTCATTAATCTTTTTTTTTTAATTGGTGATCCATTCTTCTTCTGCTAATTATTATTACTTTTAAAGTAGATGAGAGCTAACTATCTTTAATGTTTTAAGGGTTTTAAGTTAACCAGTTGGCATTAACTTGGTATATTTTTTTGGCATTACCCTAATTATTGTTAATTAATCATGACTCTTTTATTTTATTTTATTTTTTTCTGCATTTAAGATTGTGACCCAAACACTAGAATCTCTCCTATGACTATTGTCCTTCCCATCTCTCTCATAGTCCATGATGATTATGAGCAACTTCTATTTAACTTACTTTCATTGGGTCCAAATAATAGCACATTGCAGGACAATGTGGTTAGGACGAATAAATATCAAATATAATAATGGCGATATCAATAAGAGAATTTGCATTACAATAGTGGAGACTGTATGTATGGGTGGTTTAGTGGAGGACAAAGGTGGTCCGTCCAATCTTATTTGTGTTTTTATCGATCAAGATGGCACCACATGAGATGCCAATATCTGTGTCCAAACAGTCTAGGCTAAGCGCAGAAGAATGCTCAACCAAAGGCTGAGTTAGTATGAACTACATTGGATGTTCCAAGTTGTTTAGATGAAATTTCAATAAAATCTTGATCAATTACACAATTGTCATTAAGGCAAAACCAGTTTGTATAATCATCCAGGCCAAACGTTACAGGGAAATGGTCTTTTTTCGCTATTAACTCGTGTACTGGTATTCTGGACAAAGAACTCGTCTGTGAAAAAGGTAAACTTAAGCTTAATGCCTAACTTTCCCATAATCTGGCAGCTGTTCTGGAAGAATGCCAATGTTGCACATAAATTATGACATGAAAAACAGAAACTTCTAACAAAATAATTGGTAAAAAAAATAAAAAATAAAATAAACCTTTTTAGATGTGATAAAATTGCAATATCCGACTTCTAAATGACAAAATTTGAATAAAAACTAGGTAGGCCATAATAAAGCAGTGAACTTTACTAGTTGGACCATTTCAATCAAACATGAGACTTTTGAATAATTTCTGACAATATCAGCTCGAGCCAATAATTACTGTTTTACCATCTGGACATTCCCGACATTTCCAAAGAGAGGGATTGCCTCAAATCAAGCCCATGGTAAATAACCAAGCTACTTTCCTCCTCGGCCTCGGGAAGGCAAAGTACCTTTTTTATTCCTTGGCCTTACCTTGTTTGCACAATTCTCATACAATGAAACCAACTCAACAAAACCATCCTTTACAATGGAATCACTCTTTCTCTGCTTATCCTTTTCTTCCGTTTTCCTCTATTTTTCCTCTCCTCCTCTCTTCCCAATTTGGATTGCCACCAAGCTATGCTTGTAAGGCGTGGCACAACTTTTCGAGCGGAACTTCCATGTTGCACCAATGAATGTCAAAGTATTTGCATCCACCCACCATCTCCAACCTCCTTTACGAAAAAACACAGAATCTCGGATTAACACAAATATCGTACCAGATTCGGGTTTGTAAGCTATGACCTTAAATTCAAGGCGAGGCATTGCCTTACTCCTAATCAAACCAGTTTTCTGAATGCATTCTGGACACATCTTCACTCAAGGCTTCAAACTCTTCAGAGCCTCCAAGCTTCCATTCCAGTTCCTTTTTGCGATTGGTGTGGAGAGACCAAGCTGGAAATTCATCCGGGAATCCATGGCAGTAGCAGAGAAGCTTGTCCTCTGACTTCCACAAACACCTTCCAAGAGGACCCCTTGGAGCCTCAATTAACTTGAAGCAACACTGCGATTTCCTCGTGTTTAAGTGGCAGATGAGAATCTGATCATCAAAACAGTCCCAGAAAAGGCTTCCATTGAAAAACAGCTTAGAACCCATCAATGTTTCGTGATGCAACTCTGGAAGCCTTTCTTCCCACTCCTCTCATTGTCCAGTTTCGGATGACAGGATCAGAATTTATTATGTGGAACCAAATAAAAATTAAAAGACCAAGTCGAGTGTGTGACACTCTGTCCTTAAGATAGATTCGTCCCGCTACGGTGTTTACGGTTGAGTGGCGTCTATCTCCCAGGATACAATGATCTTCACAAATTTGTAGTAGCACTCCACACAAATTTGTACGGTGAACTAGAACCTTGTGCTCAAATACTCTCTTTAATTTTCCAAAAATGATATGAAGAATATACAACCAGAGATAAAATCTAAACAGCAAAAGGGTGCTTTTGGAACAATCTTCTGTGTAAATAAAATTAATTGAAACAAAGCCAAACAAAATAAAATAAAACTTACAGAATTTATTATGTGGAACCAAATAAAAATTAAAAGACCAAGTCAAGTGTGTGACACTCTGTCCTTAAGACAGATTCACCCCGCTATGGTGCTTACGGTTGAGTGGCGTCTATCTCTCAGGATATAATGATCTTCACAAATTTGTAATAGCACTCCACACAAATTTGTACGGCGAACTAGAGCCTTGTGTTCTAATACTCTCTTTAATTTTCCTAAAATGATATGAAGAATATACAAACAGAGATAAAATCTAGATAGCAAAAGGGTATTTTTCAGACTATTTTTTCTATATCCCCGGACTGCTGGAAAATGGATTAATATATATAGGCAACATCATGACTATTTGGACAACCTGAACAGGTATAAAAAGTAGTCAACAAGTGCCAAATTCAAATGAACAGATCTGTTTGAAAATTGGATCTGACCGTTGTTTGGAACAATTTTTCAAACTTTTTGAAATATGTATCCATTGCAGAACTATTATTCAAACTGTTGGAATATTCTTTATTAAACTATTTTGAATAGTTTAATCAAATAAAGCCAATAGTGGAATAGATTTATTAAAACTTGTTTGGAATATAAATATTAATCTATTTGACAAACTTTAGGAAACCACCTAGGAACCCAAAAATTTGAATTTAGATTTAAATTAAATTCCCACAATAATTTCTTATTGAAAAAATTCAAATGAATTTTTGTCAAAAAAAAAAAATTAATGTTAGACCCGAAAACGGCGTCAACTTCCCATTCACTCGTAAATGGTTTTGACATTCCATCTTCATCGTGTGACTTGCCACGCGGCAAGGAACACTTCACCTCTTCGGACCCGCTCCAAAATACGTTCGGGGCTCACTCAATTTTGGGCTGAAAGATAGCCCAAAATAAACCTAATTAAAACCAATTTTTCCAACAATCCCCCACATGAATGGAATTTGACGGAGAAAAAATGCAACAACATGATCTAATTACAAAGAGTACAGAAATTGGAAATATTCTGCAAAGAATAGGTAGCTTTTGGCTTTGAACCTTCCCTTGTGAGACACTATCGGATTTACTAGCTAACTAGTGAATATGATGTCTTGAACTGTTCAGCCGTTTGTGTAAACCAAGACAATAGAACTCACACAGAATATCTTCAGACACAGTTTAGTTCTCATTATTGTGTTCATTTTAGCCCTGAACAACCTGGTCTTTCACGAGTGCTCTAGAGAATTGTAGCCCTTTACAAATCTCATAGAACCGGCCCAGTTCAGACTCATATAGGTGATTCTTATGAAAAGTATCATGTCATACTCCACTAGGTATACCTAAATATAAGAATCATTAAAAGTATTACTTAACCTAAAACGCTACAGACATTACTAGTTCATCATAAAAATGGGTAGAAGTTGAACTCTCCAGTGATCCTTCTGAGTTATTCACAACTCGGTTGTCCCTTTGAATCTAGATCTTGGAATCTCCAGTCAACTAGATTGCGTTGTCGTTGTGGCAACTCTTATTTAATAGGCTTAAGTCTCATTCCCCTCGATAAATTCTCAACTAGCTCTCTTGCTAACCCTTTGGTTAGTGGATCCGCTATGTTGTCTTTAGACTTAACATATTCAATGGAAATAATTCCATTAGAGAGTAGTTGTCGCACGGTGTTATGTCGACGACGAATGTGTCGTGACTTACCGTTATACATATGACTCTGTGCTCTATCTATTGCTGATTGACTATCGCAATGTATGCATATAGCAGGCACCGATTTTGGCCAAATTGAAATATCTTCAAAGAAGTGGCGAAACCATTCTGCTTCTTTCCCAACTTTGTCTAAAGCTATGAATTCTGATTCCATAATAGACCTAGCAATGCAAGTGTGTTTGGAAAATTTTCAAGATACAGCTGCCCCACCAAGAGTAAATACATACCCACTGGTGGACTTCGAGTCTCTAGTACCCGATATCCAATTTGCATCACAATATCCTTCAAGTACTGCTGGATATCTACTATAATTAAGCCCAATGTTACGAGTAAATCAGAGATATCTCAGAACCCTTATAATTGCTTTCCAGTGTTCTACTCCTGGATTACTCATATATCTACTTAATTTACTTACTGCATAAGCTATATCTGGGCGAGTGCAGTTCATCAAGTACATTAAGCTACCAATAATTTGGGCATACTCTAATTGAGCAATACTTTCCTATACATTCTTAGAAAGATACAAATTAACATCTACAGGTGTTCTAGCAAGATGATCATCATCTTTGCTGAATTTGTCAAGTATTTTCTCAATGTAATGAGATTGTGACAAAGCATATCCTTCTAATGTTTTGGCAATTTTCATACCAAGAATTACATCAGCAATACCCATGTCCTTCATGTCATAATATTTATTCAACATTTTCTTAGTAGTTTTAATCATATCATTATTACTACTTATGATGAGCATATCATCTACATAAAGACATACAATGACATAACCTTTATCTGTGTTTTTAATATAAACACATTTGTCACACTCATTAATTTTAAATCCATTTTACATCATTGCCTTGTCAAATTTCTCATGCCATTGCTTTGGCGCTTGTTTTAAACCATATAATGATTTAACCAATTTACACACTTTCTTTTCTTTTCTTGGAACAGAAAAACCTTCTGGTTGTTCCATGTAAATTTTTTCATTTAACTCATCATTTAAGAAAGCGGTTTTCACATCCATTTGAGGAATTTCTAGATTGTATAGAGATGCAATGGCAATTAGCATTCTAATCAATGTTATTCTAGTAACCGGTGAGTATGTGTCAAAGTAATCAAGACTTTCTTTTTGTCTAAATCCTTTGACCACAAGTCTTGCTTTGTACTTGTCAATTGATCCATCCGCTTTCATTTTCCTTTTGAAAATCCA